TCCATATATATATATGTTATTGATAAAAGTTTGCATTGAACTATGTAATAAACAAAAAGTATTATAATTATGTTTGACCATTTTTGTTATAATTGAGTTTGGCTTTATCCTAGTGGTAGATATGTAGGCTTAGAACTATGACTTATAGATTTTACATGAAGAAAAATTAGTTCATGTTCCCATTTTTATTTTCTATACAAAAGGTTAGGCTATTCCTCCCATCAACTTAGCAATAAAGTCAATGTAATTTGTCAAGAAGCTACTTTAGACTTATTTAGTTCTCTTGCATTACTTAGTGGAAATAAGTTTGTGAATTGAAGAGATGCTAATAGTGCACAACTAACTATATGTTGTTGACTTTATGATCATGCTACCTAATCAGAAATTGATGTATGCCTTAGGGATGTCATGAGTTCTTATTGCTTAAGCAATTGTTACAAGGCTTTTTAGAATGGCTAGATTTGACTTACTTATTGCTTAAGCAATTGTTACAAGGCTTTTTAGAGAATGGCTTGTGTTATGCCCTAGGGACCACTAATAGTTTTGTAAATATGAGTAAAAAAAATCTACAAGTGTAGCTTGATTATCAAAGACTCATTAATATGATAATAAGCCACCAAAAAGATGCCTTATTATTGATGGAAAAATCCATCATTTTTAAAAGAAAATATGCAAAAAGTTTGGTTTTTTATGGAATTTATGATGAATATAAGTTTGCCACTTAGACCCTCAATATAATAGAAATTGTAATTTCATTAGAGAATATTTATGATAAAAATTTCATTAGTAATATTACTAATGAAATCTCCATTAGTAATATAAAAAATATAATGATGACATTTTTGTAGAAGATATTATTATTAAAATTTCAATCAATAAATATCATTTCTTGTGATAAAATTATTATGCCAACCAAGGTTTATATTGATAGTATGATGAAAATTTTGTTGATGCCCCATCAAAAGCATAGAAAAAAATTAAATGTTGCATAAAAAAATAATAAAACTACTACAACTTTTCAATTTCATTTATTACATAAAACATTGTATTAGAAATGATTACATAAACTTCTATTTAGAATCATCTTTTAAGTTCCTATAAATGTAAAGGGGCATTTACATACATACCACCCAATTTTTAATGTATTACGAATATAACACCTAATTTTCTTTTTTTTTTACATTTATATCACCAAAATCCTTCATATCACATGAAAAATACCACTATTTTGACTCTTAAAAAGTAAAACACACATTTTCATGTCATACATATAAAAATTGGAATTTTAGGTGTTAAGACATGCAAATACATAGAAATTAAGTGCTACGAAACGTAAATCTTCCAAATGTAAAAAAACAAAAATATAGGCTTTAAATATGTAAATACATAAGAATTGGGTGGTATATATGCAAATACCGCCATTAAATTTTAATGGCAATGCCACATAGGTATTCTGGAAGCTTAGTGTTATAACTATTCTGTGTCGCCATCGCTCGGAACATGAATTCCGCCCACAGTATTCTCTCTCCTTCTACTCTTCTCCTCCACCAAAAACATAGTAGAAAGAGAAACAGCTCCCCCGCCATGAATTAGGAATACCAATCTCAAACCACAAACACAATCAAACGGTCTTCTAATCCCAAAACATTTATCATATTATTCCATGACAGCGAAAATTAAAACAGGAATCAAACATAGCAGAGGAGAAGCAGCTCACTTCTATTCACATAATAACCAAAATTCTCTCCCATTACACCTTCAAGCTGTTAAATCCAAGCTCCTGAGTTAACCAAACCAACCAAAACCAGGGGCCAATTCATAAGTTAGCATGAAATAAAAGAAAAACCAGACTAAAACGATCAAGGAAGAAGACAATGGAAACATTACTACTAGCATTCCTGCCCTGCTACTTTTACTACTACCAAGTACCAGGAGGTTCTTCTCTACTCCAGAAATCCAGTCCTGGTGAGCACAGCATCCCTCACCCTGCGCTGATCCCTTCCCTTCAGAGTCCTCCCCGCACCCTCGCAAACCGAAGAAGAAGAAATCTGGCTCCTCGCCATCTTCCTCGCAAGCCATTCATGGGGAGGCAACTTGTCTTCCTCCTCATCTTCTTCCTCCTCCTCCCCGTTTCTGTTACAGATCTTGGACCAATTGGGTATATTGACAGGCACAGACTGCCTGCTCTGTTCTCCAACGGACTTCGATCTCGGTATCTTGTTAGAGCCAGATTGGGACGAAAAGGAGGCATTTTTGTGCTTTCTTACCTTAGGACTCTCATTCTTCTTACCCCTCTCCATTGCCCAAACCTCCTCCTCCTCAAACTCTTCCTCCATGTAGATTAACCCGCTCATCTCACGAGCTCCAAAGATGGGATTTTTATAGAGAGCGATGAGCACAGAGTGGAAAAGGGGGAAGGGGAAGGGGAAAGTGGCAGCGATTTCCCCTAAAGGGAAAGGGATTGAGGCCTGAATCCCGGGAAGCAAAGATGTTGGAAGAGAGGGATTGGATAACGAGAGTACGGTTTCTGCGTAGCTATTCCCTGCAAAAAGACGACCTGACAGTATAGGCTTTGGATTGAAATGGAAGCAGAGCAGAGAAGTCTATTCGGCTGCAGTGAGGAACAGGTTGGTGGTGGTTGCTGGGTGGGTTTAAAATTGCTGGTTTCAGGTGGAATTTAGTCAGGTGGTGGTGCAGGGTCAGACGTGACCTGAGAGCAGGGACTCGTGTGGCTCAGCTTTAATGTGCTTCCAACTGCCGAACAATAGTTTTCCTTGTTATAAGGAATTTTTGTAATTATTTATTTTATTTTAACATGCTGTCGGAAATTGTTTTTTAAGTATTTAGAGTTCAAAATTACTGTAAAATTATTGTTTTTCTTGTTTGAGGAATTTGAAAGGACTTAATTGTTAATTCACGCTGAGACGTCTTTTTCAATTTATTTTAATTTTATCAGTTCTATAAAAATTTTAAGTTTGTTCAATACTCAATAACTAAGGGTCCGTCTGGAGTAGCTTATAACTGCGGGCGGCGTTTTTAAAACGTCACAGCCGTATCGTTTGTTTCGCGTGTTTCGCCAGCTTATCCGAAAATGTGTTCCGGTTTTTACACTAAACGCAGGCCGCGGGGGTCGACCCGCAGCCGGTCCCGTTTTTACACTAAACGCAGGCCGCGGGGGTCGACCCGCGGCCGGTCCCGTGAGCCGCATTTCAGGATACCCAGCTTATCCTGAAATGCACAAGCTGCCCCAAACAGACCCTAAATATTATATTTTACCGTTAGTTTTAAACAATTGACTTTACATTTGAGGGTTTTTTTTTTAAATTTTTTGATGTTTTGAAACAATTGTTAGGATTGATCTGTTGGTCAATTACATTATTTAAAAATTTATTCTAAAATAAGTTTATTTATAAATAATTCAATTACAACATCAGAAAAAAAAAATTGTGCCCTTCATTTTCTATTTTTCTATAATTATTATAATTTACATTAATTATTTAGTTCTTTAATATTTAATAAACGTCATGAATTTGGTTTTAAACCATGAAACTCTTAACTTTACCCATTATCAACTTTGGAAATATATAATAAATATCACTCAATATAATAAATAAGAGAATAAAATAATATTTTTTTTTAAATCACCATGTAATGCCTTCTTTCTAGAACTATAAAACTACTTTTACATATACATTCCCTCATGTAACATTATGCGGAACAACAAGTAGTGGTATGTAATGTAATTATTGTGTTTTTATTTGTAGTATAAGGACTTACAATACCAAAGTAATACATATTGAATGGCAATATGCATTTCATTAGAGAATTATTTGATGGTTATAATTATTTTTTTTGAATCAAATTTGTAATTTACATATATACCAATCAATTCATATGTATTTACATATGTAAAATTAGCTTTACTTTGACATTCATACCACTAAAATCTCTTATAGCACATTAGAAAAGACACCAATTTAACTTCTAAAAGGAGAAATGCATATTTTCATGCATAGATAACAAGATAAGGTTGTATGTATATAAGAATTGAAGTGGTGTTAGATAGGTAAATAGATAGAAGTTTAAGTGGTATGTTTGTAAATCTTTCTTTGTTTAATTTTATTTTTAGTCAACGTGTTTGCAAGTTTTTTGGGTCAATGCTTGAAGTTAAGGTTTAGATTTGTATATATATATATATATATATATATATTAAAGCTGCCAATTACCTATTGAAGTAAGTAATGATCATAGAAATACAAGCGTCTGCAGGAGCCAAATAATAGTAATACTAACCATCAGAAAGTGGCAGTGAAAAGGCCATAAGATTGTCAAAAATAAAAACATGCACATCATTTTTATTTTTATCAAGACATGCAATTAATGACATTTCTAATAACAGGAAATTCAGGTGCTCGGCAAAATTGGCAACACCCATAAAATATGAGAAATTATTGCATACGGTATCTAATCCTGACCGTAGATCACGGTGATCTACGGTCAGGATATATTTGAGTTTTTTTTTAAAAAAAATTAAGGTGGGGCCCACTGAAATACATCCTGACCGTAGATCACCTGATCTACGGTCAGGATCGGGCACCGTATGTAGAGATGCATACAGTGTCCGTCCGTATGAAATAATTTTTCCATAAAATATAGCCCCTCGCTTCGCACTTTTGGAAAATATTTATTACGTCAAACTCACCCACCAATGTTGCATAATATTCCCTTTTTGTAGAAGTCTCAAATTTTAAAAAAATTATGTTTATTTTTACATTGATAACCACAGGAAGCAAGAAACAGAGATCTCAAGATCAAGATCACTATGCCTTCTGCACTTTTTTCAAGCATTCCGTGATCAATTCATTTTAGACTGCTTCATTTTTTAATCCTAGTTATGCTTTAAGACATATGTAATTTTTTTTTTTTTTTTTTTTTTTTTTTTGCAAATTAGGATGCATTATTGCTACGGTTGTGAATTTATCTCGAAGAATGTTTGTGAATTTAGCTCGAAGATCATTGATAGCTCGAAAATTAATTTGAATTTTGGCTCGGATCGAAAAAAATGACCCGAGTTATGTGCTAAAACTTTGGATCAAATTTTTCTCGATCCGGTTTTGAGCCATCATGGATCCGAAATGTATTAATAGACCCAACAACCCATATTCAAACTATTATAACCAAGGTTGGAAGAATCATCCAAATTTTAGTTGGAATAACAATTCTTCTACTAATCAACAATGGGCAAACAACCCAGTGAACCCATTAGGAAATTCATCCAACTAAGGAAATGTTAACTATAGACCTTCTTATCCTCCAGGATTTAACAGTAACACATTAAGGAAAAGAAATTGTCTATGGAAGAGCTGAAATTAAACATGGGTCAACAATTGCAGAATTAAGGAAATCAATTATAAATTCAAGAAAATCAATTACAAAATCAAGGAACTGCTATTAAGAATATTTCATTTTTAAAATATATTTTGAATTAAAAAAAATTAAAATAATCAAAATTTTCAAAATACAAAAAATGGTTCAAAATGAGTGGAAATATCTCCTGACCACTTTGAATTAATTAAGATATTTTTCCTAATTTTTCCTTCATTTTGGCACCACTATTTTCTATCGGATTCACTTAGTCCAAATGAAATTACTAAACTCAAGTCAATGAGTTCCATACTTTCATTTTGACCGTGGGAAATCTTGTTAGCAACTGTAGGTTACCTCTTTCGAAGGATTCCCGATCATCTGATAATGATGACTTAATTTAGTTGCAATTGTTGTTTTGTGATGTTTATGATTAAATTTTGAGTTGTCTTATGTTTGAATGTTGTGGCAGTGAATTTTACCTTGGTTGATTTTAGTTTTGGTTTTGGTTTTATGGCAAACCTAGTAGTTTTTGTTTTCTTGCAGCGTGACATTGTTGTTCAACATGCAAGTTTTGTAAGTATAAAAATACAGTGTGTAAAGTACAAGAAAAGACGGTACTATCAAAAGATAGTACAAGAAAAGATGGTACTATATATATATAAAGGAGCATTATTCGGCTCCCAGCATGTTAATCACAAAAGGTAAGTACAGAAAAGATAGGCTGGGAGAGGGTCCCCAGATCTAGAAAACCAAAATAAAAATAGTACTCACTCATAAGGGGATATCCCAGCCACCTGCAACACCACCCCAAGGAAAAAAGAAGTGAAAATGGGGATATATATATATATATATAAACAAAAATATATATTTAAAATAATAGAAACTTACATAGCACAAGACTTGAAGAGAACACCAGACAGACGCTTTGATACTACACTGAGAATACTCGAGAAAGACTTGCACACCAATAGATAATACAAAACCCCTATTTATAATAAAGGTCGGACTCCAAAATTCATACAATATAGTTAAACAAAAGATAATACATCCGTTGGATGTGACATAAAACAAAAAAAATATTTCAGAATACTATTACACCAACCATATTAATTTCAGTCACTATTCCACCAACTGTTACTGTTTCAACCACCATCATTATTGCTTTAATTTCTTCTGAGGTGACCCCTAATGGGTCTTGATCTTAGAGATTTGCGAGGGTATTTTCTTTTGATTTGATCATGAATTTCCTTTAGAGAAAATTCCTGAGTTTTCTCTTAAACATTTTTACCATTTGATGTGATGACTTTATTGATTTGAGTTACATTGTCATCAATAATGATTGCAGACCACCATTTGATGAAGAAAGTTCTCCATAAGCATTTAGTATTGAGCTAATCTGGTTGATTACATAGATTCCAGACAAAGATCCAAGGAATTTGTGCCTGACAAAAGAATAATAATTCGCACATTCCTTCGGATAAAAAATCGTTTTTGATTTTACTAATTTGTGGAGAAGAGTTCACCCATGCTGGATATACATTGTTGATAGATTTTGGAAGAATTTCATTGGTGGCTCCAAATTTATCCCACTAAGCTAAAAACCAATTTGATATCTCTTTATTTAAGATTTTAAGCATCAGCACAAATAACCAGGAATGACTATGCCTTGGATTGATAAGTAAAAAGACATGATTCATGGCTTGAACGTAGGTCCAATAATTACAAAAAATATTTTCTTTTGTTTAGATAGATGATCCATAAATTCAATTTGTTTGAATTGGAAAGATGTTAGACCCCAATCCTTATGGTGCAAGATGTGATTTATTGTCGCCTTGCTATATGCAATAGATTTATTGGGTTCATTATAATTGTGTTGAATTTCAACACATTGTAATGAAATGAGTATTGCCTCATATGATTCGCGGTCAAGATTATCTTGCATGTAGACAATTGTGCTTAGGTATCTCTCCTGGATTTTCCAAGAATCATTAATTTCATAATTCTTTAGATTAATTTCGAGGATTTTTTCTTTAAAAGATTTTTGCACGAATTCTGTGATATTTTGAATCTGTAATTCAGGAGATTGTTTTTTGGATGTGGAGGCCATTGTACTACCATATAAATACTGTTTTAAAACAATAAATTTTCGCGGGGTCACATTAGGTTGACCCCTACCTCTTCCCCCTCTAAAGGTGGGGCTAGCCCTATAGGGTATCATTCTATTGCGTGTATGAGGGGTTATCCACCCCTTATTGTCTTTCTCCCTGCAAAAGTTCATGAGTGAGAAAGTCAGGTAAAAATTTAATATTACCTGCAATATATTCTATATAAAATTCAAAACAAGATAACTGTGCTTG